AACGGCACCTACTTTTGATAAATGAAGAGCAACAACTCATTAGGAAATAAAAAGTTATCTGGTGATCAAGAGATGATTTGCACAATTAAAAAATAAAATGCTTATTCAAAGTAAATTGTTACCCAAACCAGCAAGCTTTATTAAAAACCCCTACTCACTCAGAAGCAAACCTCAACCAGCAAACAATTCCTACAAGCCTCCCACACAAGATAGTTCAGTGTATACACACTCAGCCCAACTGTGCTGAAACATGACTGAGCTGTTTACTTGAGCTTCAACAGTAAGCCACTTACCATTTAAAAATAATACTCATGTGGTCGGGGGTGAAAACATCTCCAACATACACACAAGCATCTGGAAGATAAGCCTTCCAGCTTCACCTGCCATCAAATCCCAGAAGGTTTTCTTTCCCAGGGCTACTGAATAATTCTGAAGCATCCTTCCCTTGATCTGTGTTTTCGGTGAGTTCTGCCAGTGTATTTCACAAAGTCTAATCCCCAGAGTACAGCACTGACTTAAGAGGTCATGCACTTGTCTAGCAACAGGAGAGATTTTTTTTTTTTTAACTAAAACTCCTCTTATTCTCCTCTTCTCATATTCAGTGATAGCTAATGGTAACACAATTCCAAAAAATGCCCGAGTAAGCAAAATCAGCAACATGTTGGCATTTTGTTATCCCTCATATTCAAGAATGTAGTATATGAATTAACACATAAACGAGTCCAAGAGACGCAAACTGAGTTTTTCACACAGCAACAGCCAAAGCTGTTACGAGTACAAGTGGGTACCTTAAGCTCATACTTAAAGGAAAACAGGTAACTATACTCCTATGAGTTCTCATTACCTTTTGGGTTCCGTAAAGAAGAAATTCACACACGTGCATGCGCTACACCTACCCGTTCACCATCCAGGACTGAGCAGGTCTCATTCTGAGCTCCTTCTGGGGCAGACGTTACCACAGAATCGGCACTGGTCACTAAAGGCCCTGAGACCTCACCTACTAATCTGCTGGGAAATATTTGCCCAGGATTGGATACAACTTCGAGTACAGTCCTCTAAGATACAGGACCCTCATGAGCCGAATAAGAAGACCCTGGGACAGCCCCCGACCCCTTCAGGCCTCTGCCTCTAATGGGGAGTGACAAGGCGCCCACCTGTGTGTTCCCTGCAGGACAAGAGAAAGACAGGAGCGATGACTTAATGTCTGCAAAGTCCAACACTGCTTTTGTCTTTTCTGTTAGCTACTATCGAACCACTGTCTTGACTTGAAAACTGTCTAAAGCATATCTAAATCTGTTTACAAACTCTTCCTTAAGACTCAGCGATTTTGTTTTGTTGGTCTGCAGCAGTTTTCTTTAATTAACAAATATCAGACATCAGATTTATTAGAGATAAACCTGGGCAGGACACCACAGGCTAAGTAAGTCATTAGATCTAATGAATACCCTCCTTGCTTAAGCTTATTCCAGAACCCTGGGAAATCCCTTCACCACTTGGTGCCTCTCACCTTGAATGTTGAATGATGACAGTGTCCCCACCTACCTGTTTCTTATAAATCAGGGAGAAAGAGGAGGACAATGAGATCATGTCTACAAAGAGCTAAGTGCCTATGGAATAAAAGCTCTCATTAATGCATCTGTATAAAAGCTCTTATTGACACATGCTTTTACTTTTGACAAACATTTGAAACCAAAGCCCTATTTCTATAAGAGAGGCAATGGACAGTATAAAACATTGTAACATTGTGGCCATGAGGCACCGCCTTATGAGAACAGGTTCCAAGAATGTGAACGTGAGCAAAACTACAGTGCCCATCAGTGCCAGTCTGGCTCTCGGGGATGGATCTGATCTGGTTCACCTTGAGCTTGATATAGCCGCTCAGGGGCCCGCAGAGAAAACTGCGGTGCTATCCCCAGGTGGCATCCCCACAACCCTCTGGATTCCCACCATCTCTTCGGGGTGATTTACTGTGTACAAGAGCAGGGATACTGCCATGGACGCTGTAAAACTAATTATCAGCAATTGTGAGGTGAGTAGAACACATTAATTGTATGAGTGCAAACAGATTTCTTTCTAAGGCTCTTCTCACTGCCCCCATCTGAAAGATTTAGTCAACTTAACATTTGTGTCTGTCAGCAGCTTTGAGGAGGGCACTATTTTCTCTGCTAGTGACCCCAGTAACCTTGGGGAGGAATGTAGCAGTTTGAAGAAAGAAAGCCCTAGAGGAACTGGACGTGGAGAAGTTCCCCAAACCGCAGTCAACCAACATGAACACTGTAGCTGGGAGGCCGGGAGAGACCCGGTCCTTTGTCCTGACTTCGGGGTTTATCACTGGCACCCACGGCCTTTGTTCCCTCCCTTGACTTCTGCTACCAAGACACCTGAGAAACAGAATCTTATCTCCAGACTCTTTAGAAACTTAGTATATAACCAACCTACTCTTCAACAAGGACAACGCTCAACATACAAACAGACTAAAACAGCTAGTATGCAGTTGACAAGAAAACTGAGAAATCTGAAATTCATATTTAAGACTTTGGTAAAACAAGGCAGGCACCCCCCCCAAAAAAAAAATCTCATGTATATCTACTTCACTGACTCATGGGTAATCAATCTATTTACTGGAACTTGACATGTGGCAAAATCGTCTAACAAGAGAAATAATACATGTAAGCGAAACTGAATTTGCTATCATAATGACCACAAGTCACCAATCGAAAGCTAAATGGAAGTAATTTAAAAGATTCATTTGACAAGAGTTTGGCAGTTCCTACAAGTGCAAGGATACCAATTAGTCATGGCAGCCCTGAAAGGGACACTCAGTCTCTCGCAAATTATGCGGATGATTATGATGGATAAATAGCTACCTTGTTGTTTTTTATTCAGAATGCAAGCAAGGGATCCCACAATATGCCAGAGGGAAAAATGTTTCCAAAGCTCCATATATCAAACCAACACAATGAATTCTTCCACTGTGTGATTTAGGAAAGGAAAATTCCTTGAAGACAAAGGGTAACCATATAATGATGTCCTCTTAGGCTGACACAGAGCTAAACATCTGCAGCCTGGTATTGCCACTTATCTTTGGCGTCACAGCACCTAGCCGTTATCTTTGGGGACAGTTTTCTATAGCCACAAAATAAGCTCGGCTTCATTAGAAATGGCAGGAGCTACTGGAGGGACTCTTTTGTGGTAACAAAATATTTTGACTCTATAAAATGAGTAACTGTGAGAGATGCTGATAAAGAAGCAAGTGCTTCTACTACTTGAAGTAAGCTCTTAAAACTGTTTATCTTAAGAGAATTTCAAAGTCAAAGAATAAACCACTGTTCCTACTAAGGATGATGAAAGGGAGGACCACCCAAAGCCTCTTGATAAACTAACCTTTGATCAAATTCTATATGAGGAATATTAGACAGATTATTTGTACAGCACTCATCTTCCTGGGAAGCAAGCTTGCTTCCATTTCCTAGTAAGAGGACAAAAAGTGTCACACAACAAACTCCCACGTTTTGAATCTAACAGTTAGCTTCTTTGTAGCAAGATAATGCTTCATTTCCTAGCAGCCAAATAAAAGCTGAAACAGAAAAGTAGGGAAGGAAGTAGAAAGGATTTCTCAGGCAATCTGACTGCCTCAACTTTCTCAGCAGAAGCCCATTATCACATCATTACTATAAAGACAACCCCCCCTTTTATTCGACTTATTTATGTATTCATTTGACTGAACTTTTTCCAATGAAGATTTGAGAAGCCAGATTTCAAACTCAGATTCCTGCAATCAACATATAGAAAGTGCGTAACAAAACAAGACCTTGCTCACTGAATCTTCCTGATACACCTTGTCGAAGTCAAACATAGGAAAACACGGAGGGGGGGCATTCGTGCACCCTAGAAGGGGACACTTTTTCATATGAATGAAATAACCTGAACTCGAAGGTCTTCTCATTTTTATTCCTTAGTAGGGTTTCCTTCTTTCCTCTCTGAACAATATTGGGATTCTGGCAAACTCTGAAGTAGGATTTCAACAGGAAGAGTTGAGCTATGGGAACTGGCTTGACCTCTGCCAGCACGTACTTATTCCTGAACTCTTTAGTAAAATGAGTGTGTGCTAGCTTTCACTCATTTTACTCGTCAACGAGATGTGCCAAACGCCTGTACGATGTTTCTTTTGCAGGCTTCTGTACTTTTGTAGATGTCATCTTATTTATCCTCACAGATTTTCCATTTAAAGATTTCAGAGGGCTGCACAGCTTCATTGTGATAGAAGAAAAGACAGGAACTAGGTAATATGCAAATAGAGGAATAGAGGATCCACTGTCATCTCCTTAGAGATCACAGGTGGCTGGGGACAGAACTGGCATCAGCATTTCTTCACTAGATCGCACATGTCCTCACTTATTTGCATCAACTACATAAATGTAAAGGCTCCTTAATTAATATTTCAAAATCATCAAGTGCTTACTTAATAACCAAGCTCCTTCACATCTATTGTAATACTGACCAGAAATACTAAGATACATAGTTTGGTGGTAAGAATATGGACTTGGAGTCAGACATGGATTCAAATCTCAGTTTGGTGGCTCCGTTAATAAATTGTATGAATACTGGAACCCTGAGTTGCAGGTGAGGCAATCATACCTCTTAGAAATATATCAAATGAGAGAACATACATGAATTGCTTAGCACGATGCTCATTAAATGGCAGCCAAGGCTACTGTTATCAAAATTATCAAGGGCACCACCTATATTTGGGGTAGTTCCTAAGGGGACTCTTGGATTGTTTAACACAGAAGCAAAAACGACCTTCGTAATGGTAAGTTGGCTCTGCAAGAGCAGCTTGGCAAAGTTGCCATGATAAGAATTTAAAAACTGGACAGAGGGAAGTCTGTGAAGATGTTACAATGGTACCCCTGGGCTGCAGGTGAAGGGGCGCACTTTCCTGGGTATGTGTGGGAGGGGCAGGGAGACCTTAGGTGGGCGGGGGTGCTGCTGTCACTCACGCGGGGGTGACACCCTTGGGCAGGCCCAGGGCGTTGACAGCCACGGGCGGCGGCTGCGAGGGCAGCAGGGCGCTGAGGAAGGCGGCGGGCGTCTGGCTGTGGCCGAAGCGGGCGGCGGGCGAGGCGGCGTGGGGGGCCGGGCCGGGCAGCGGCGGCGGCGGCGGCGGCAGCGGGAACACGTCGGGCACCGGGAAGGCCGCGGTGGGGCTGAAGACCGGGGGCGGCGGGGGCGGGGGCGACGGCGAGGACGGGGACCACGGGGCCTCCGC